AGGACATTATATAATGATTAAAGGATCAATTGAACATGAAGATATAACCATAATAAATATTTATGGACCCAATGAAAGAGCCCCAAAATACATAAAACTGAATTTTCTTCTGAACTACACTGTCCCAACAATTTGTCTATAGACTTCTGGAGCAACAATTTAAAAACTAAATTTAAAAAATCCCAATAATGTCCTGTTAGGAATTTAGTATTTGATATATAGTGACATTTTCCAAAGACAAAACTTTTTAAATTTCCTAAAATCAGGAGTCTTAAAGCTCGAATTACTGGCCAAGGCTGCCCAAAGGCCGCTGTCAGGAACGAGAGAAAGGCAGCACCAAACAAGGGTACTGAGTTCCCTGCCAGCCTCCTAGCCAGCAGCGTCCCTGGGAGCACTCAATCGCACAGGCCACCTAGCAACGTGAGCTAAGGTACAAATCTCAGTTTCCAAGATGAATACCATGGGAAGAAACCAAGCCAAGGTCTTTGGGAAAAACTAACTCTGCAGGCACCAATGTGTAAGTCCTGGATGAACCCGATAACTAAGCCTGTGATTGACAGTAACACTGTATCCCAATGGGCACTGACAAAGAGGGTCAAATTAAAACTATGTGATAAAACTAAAAGAAAAACACAGTTACTTTGGAAATTCATTTATTCACAGATCATCTGTGCAGTTACACTGATAAACAAACCTCTGCGTGTTACACACAGCCCTCACCATGGAGCAACCTTGACACACTGGGTTTGAATCAGACTTATCTAATAGAAAGGAGGAATCAGCAATGAGACAAAGACAAAGGAGAGGACATGGATGGAGAAGAATGAAGAGGAGGGAAAGGCAGAGGCGACGGAGAAGCTGGAGTGCACCCCAACCCCCGAGTATGGCGGAGGTAGGGTGGGGCACAGCTGGTGCGGGGAGCACTCCTTCCCTCCTCTGGTGCTGACATTCTTCCAATGAACATGGCATAGTTCTGCTGATATCGTGGCTGTTCGATTGCTGCTGCCCTGAGAAGTAAACAGGAAAGAGCTATAACACGCAACTCCATCCGGGGGTGGGAAGGCGAGGGTGGAGCAGGATGAAGGAACAGCAATCTAACAAATAAGAAGGGACCAACTTTAGACGGACAAGGTTAAAATCCAGCAAGTATAAGGTAAAAACTTTAATAGCTGTTTTGCTAAAGACAAAATTCTTACCCAGTACCTGGGGAGAAAGGAGCTCTGGTGGCATAAGGCATTTGACTGCTAACCAGAAGATTGGTGGTTTAAATCCACCAGCCACTCTGCAGAAGGAAAGACTAGGCAATCTACTTCCATAAAGATTTACCTCCTCAGAAACCCAATTGGAGGTCACTATGAGTTGGAATCGACTCAATGGCAGAGTTTGGTTTGGTTTTTGCTATCTCGAGAGAAAGGAGCTCTGCTCGTGTAGTGGTTAAGGCATTTGATTGCTAACCAAAAAGTCAGTGATTCAAACCCAGCAGCTGCTCTGTGGGAGAAAGATGAGGGATCTGCTTCCATAAAGATTTACAGCCTTGGAAACCCTATGGGTCAGTTCTAGCCTGTCCTATAGGGTTGCTATGAGTTGGAATTGACTCAATGGCCATGTTTTTATTTATTATTTCTCAGTCTGGGTAGAAATTAAAAGTCTGAGTATAAAGGAAGTGAAAAATGCAAATCTTCTAGAAATTGTAGATATTCCATCTAAATTGAGAGACTGAGTTTAATAAAACCATGTGTCTTTAATTCTATTTTAAAGTATTAATACAAAATTATTTAATGGCTGGGGAAAAATAAATAGGTGCATAAGAAATCATATAAGTCTGACCCTCTATGGGCTTCAGAAGTAAATTTCCAGGGAAAAGCTTCCGAAAGAAAGGTGGTTGCCCTTGCATGCCGTCAAGTCGATTCCAATTCCTAGTGACCCCACAGGACAGAGTAGAAGTGAAATCTCTCTGGGAGCAGACTGGCAGGTCTTTTCCTCCAAAAAAGAAAAGTAGACCCTCTTAAGATGAATAAGGGTCATGAGTACAAGTTCTCCTTGTGCTCACAACCATTTTGACTGATAGTCTGACAACTGTGGACAGCCATCAGAGACCATGGTGAGTCCATGGGGAAAACACCAGGAAAGGTACCATCCCAATTTCCATGTCCCTCCCATTGAAACAAAGACGTTCTCCTCAGCACCTCGTGAGGATGTTCAGCTTCTAGTGCTTTCCAAGATCCACATCAGGAGAAGTCAATTTGTCCACAGGAAGCATAGTTTCCAAAGTTGTCTACTGTGAACCTCTGAGAGATGTAAATTGAGTTGAGCTTTAGGGCACCAAAGTAGAAGTTCTCAAATAGCTGAAAAGGAAAAGTGAAAACCATAATGAATATCTAGAGAAAATTACGTTTGAAATATTAACCATCAGATTCTCTAGTAGAAACAACACCAAGCCACAACAATCCCCACAAACCTCTCATGCTCATTCTTTTTGGTATTTATTGGGAACACTGATCTTGGAGAGTAGGGGTGGGGGTGGGAAACAAGAGCCAGCTCTTTCTCTGGCTAATTTTAAAGTCTTCTCTAACAAAATGCCCTAGAGAAAGAGGTCTGGAAAGGCAATTTGAAAATTTATCTTCTGAGTACATATGACCAAGAACTTGTAACAAACAATCCTGGAGTCACATTCTGACTCACAGGGCCTAGCAAAGCTGCTTCTAAGACTTGCAGCTACTGACCATGAATACTCCCATCAGGATCCTAGTTCCATCACAGCCAGGGGAAAATGTGATACAACCCACACCTCTGCCTAGTCAATGTTTATTAGGAACACTGACAAGGTATAAAAGTAAATAGAAGATAAGGTTGCTGACCCACAAATGATTCTAACCCCAGTGAAGAACACAGAACACTCAGACACACAAGCAGTGGAACACTTCTACTGGGCAATATAACAAATGCAAATGATAATGTTTATCAAGACCCTTTCATTAGACTTGGGTTCAAGCCAATGTCCTAAAGTAAATGCTCTTCACTGCAATCTTTCACTTTATAAAAGCTTTCAAGCAGTCAGAGGAGGGATGCGCCATACTCTAGGAGGGACCTGCCCTTGTGATTAGCACTTTTATAAGGCAGAAACCAAAATGACATCAGAATTCATCCCAGGAAAATTAAGTCAGATTGCTAAAATAAGGAGTGTTAAAGAGAAAAGGGCTTACTTCTTCTGCTAGGATGCAAGAGTTTCTCTTTCTTAAAAAAGATCCCAAGAAAGGTCTGATAGAGCCTGATGGAACCCCTGAGACTAAGACCCCTAGCTGCCCTTCAGGTCTGGAATTGAACCCACTCCTGTGGCTTCCAGCCAAACAAAAGACAGGCATGTGAGCTGAACATTTACATTAGAGAGATATTCTCCTTAGAGAGATCAATCATGGGAGAATAGAAGGGCTGTGTATGCACAGGGAGACAGCTCGGGGCGGGAGTGCATGGGATGGAAGGACACAGGGAAGAGGTAACTATGGGGAGGAAATGGAGGGGGAGCTACTGAATTGTGTGAAACTGCAGTCAATGTCATGAGACAAAGTGTAGGTGAGCTGCTGTATGGGAAGTGAATTTGCTCTGTAAACTTTCACCCAAATCACAATTTAAAAAAAAAAGATCCCAAGAAAGGCTTTCAATATATGTACCCAACAATGCTTGAGAAGAACCTCAGGGTGGGATCTTTCCACACTAGCAAGTGACTGTCTCTTCACTTATTTTTATACAGCCTCCACAGGCACAGACTTCAGCCACTGTAGCTTTTCCTCTTCCTGCAATTAATGGCCTAGCAAAATGCTTGGGGTTCATTAAAGGCTAACTTTATAAAGCCCAGTAAATATTGATCCTTCAACATGACATCAACTCGACCCCAAAGATCTATTTAGAGGTTGCGTGCTGCATTGTCTTGTCTTTCGGAAAGGTGATCAGCTCTTGCCTGCATTGATTTACAATTAACTTCTCTTGCTGGCTTTGGTAGCCTGTTCAGACCATATCCATTCCTTTGTGTAAAGAAATTCAGCCCGAAATGGTTATCTGCTAATCCTTTTGCTGAACATTAATTTGAAGTGAAAGTCACATCAATGAGACTGACAGATTAACAGCTTTGCAAACTGAAACCTTCTGGGCACATGAAAGACATAACCAAAGGGGCAATAAAAGACAAGACAAAACAAAACAAAAGGGGAACTTTCAACAATTTATTTTTGAAGGATTGGCAGCCTATGAGGCCTCCACCACCTCTTTGGGCCTGTATTTCCATGTAATGGAGATGTCACAGCTACAAGCAAGAAATGACCTAAATATGACTTACCTTTGCTAATGCAGAGAATCTTCAGATGGCATGATTTGCCAGAGAGATTCTCTTACTTTCAGGTTTAAAGTAAATGTGGCAATAATGGAGTCAGCTGAGATAGGATTTCAATGAAGTAATTACAAAAAGGAAGAGAGAAGAGTGAACATAAATTCTCATGCCCCATCAAGGCTGTGGAAAGAGTACTGAAGTCAGACTCTAAACTTATGCCCAGAACAGGAAGCCGACTTTGAATAGATGATCCCATCCATGACTGTTATTGTTAGGAGCCATCGAGTTGCTCTTTTACTCACAGCGACCCCTGTGACAGAACTGCCCCACAGGGTTTTCTAGGCTATGGTATTTACAGCAGCACATCACTAGGTCCATCTCCTATGGAGCTGGTGGGTGAGTGTGAACCACCAACCTTTTGGTTAGCAGCTAAGCACTTAACTGTTGCACTTACCATCCACTATCCAATCCCATAAGGGTTTTATAAAAGATCATGATGGGCAAAGATAAGATGACCACGTGAAAGTGATACTGAAACGTTAGGTATTTCCTATCATTATGTTTTTTAGATCTTTCTGTTCTCCTTGTTATTTATTTTACCTACAGAGGCTGCCACCTTCTCTCATACCTTTTAATAATGTCATAATTAAATGGATATTTTATACACAAGTCCCTAATGCAGTGCCAATCTTCATTTTAGTCTCTCCTATCTCCAAGTTCTTATTCACACTACATTTATACTACAGATGATTTAGTAATAATTTTTCACAGCTATCTTATTATTTAGTATTATTACACAGCTTTAGTTTTGAGCCGTTTAGTTCTATCAGTGATTTCTAGTGACTCATTAGACTATGAACGCCACAGAGGGAGAAGCCTTCATGTAATTCACAGCTAATACCTGTAACAGTATCTAATAGATTAGATATGATAAATATTATTTGGATAATAATTGATGACTAAAACTAATGTAGATGTCTGTATAACTTAGCCATTGAAAGATAAAACTGTCATTCATGTACTTGTTGAGATTGACTTTAAAGGTCTAATTTATAGGTCATCATCTAGGAATCTCTGTACCAATATTACATTATCTCTATTTAACAGAAAGGATATATATCTCAATTCTAACTAGTTCTCAAGAAAGAATCTGTAGTTAGTAGTGGAAATTCCATATACTCTTTCAAATTTCTATATGTTTCTTATTAGTCAAAGCGTAGATCCTTTTCTTAGCTCCAGTTCTAATCTGGAGTATCACTGAGCGTCTGATGTTATGCATTTGCTGTGCAAAGAGGCACAGGACATGTGGTAAATATCAGCATGTATCAGAAGAAAAGAATGCTGATGGCATGGTGTGTTCACTCTCTGAAAAGTCACTGAGCAGTATACTCTGTGCTCTGTGCACTTTTCTGCATGCGTGTTCTATTTCAACTGCAAGTTTCCCTAAAACAATGAAGGCAGCAAAGGCCAAGTGTGAGATGAGAGGTACCGGCACTAAGTAGATACAGCAGAAGGTAAGGGAACAGTGGACACTGAAGGCTGGAGCACCTAGGAAAGCCATGGGAGGAGACAGGAATGGAGCTGGGCCCAGTGCCAAGTACAGGACTCGGCAAAGAGAACAGAAGAGGGTAGGCAACCTGGAGGAGAAACAAGCTTGGTGGACAGGGGCCAAGTGCACCAGCTTAGCTGTGTGCAGGGTTTCCATAAATAAGCAGTGAGGCTCACTTCTACAAAGAGTCAAGAATAGGTATACACACAGAAAGCAACGATCTTTGCTGGCTACCAGGCATGGGAGGGGGAGGGAGAAGGATCACTTTCTATATAGTTGACACTTATTATTTTTGGTGATGGGAAAGACAATCCCAATATAGGTGAAGTCTGTACAACTTGTCCAAGGTAAACAAAGACACTAAGAAGTATGTAAGAATAAAGGACAATTTTTGTAATACTATATAACATACAATTTTACAACAACAACAAGGACCAATGTATGCATATACATGTACAGAAGGGCACATGAGTATATTCACATATAGGTGTATCTGCAGGCATATGTATATGCATGCTTGTGTGTGCTGCAAATATATTCATATATATATTAAACTTCATAGGGGACACAGTTATAGATACTACCAACATATAGCTAACACTCTGCAGGATTGGTTTACTGAGTTTGAAGGCTTGGGACCATAGTCTTGTGGAACACTTTGGTCAACTGGCATATCAGAGTTCATAAAAATAATATTCTACATCCTACTTTGGTAAGTAGCATCTGGGGTCTTGAAAGCTTGTGAGCAGCCATCTAAAATACAACTATTGGTCTGTTCTCGTTTGGGGCAAAGGAGAGTAAAGGAAGCCAAAAACTCAAGGAAGAAGTCTATAAAACTAATGGCCCACAAGAACAGCAGCCTCTTCCAGCCTGAGACCAGAAGAATTAGATAGTACCTGGCTACCACTACTGACCATTCGACCAGGAAGGGACACAATAGTAGGTCCTGGTTAGAATGGGAGAAAAATGTAGAACAAAAGTCAAATCCCTTAAATAAATAAATAAATAAAAAGAAGGAAGACTTACTGGACTGATAAGAGACTAGAGGAACCCCCAAGACTACCCTAAGATACCCTTTGAATTTAAAACTAAAGCCACTCCCAGTGGCCACCTTTCATCCAAATAATAAATTGGCTTTATTATTTTAATGTCACCTGTGACTACTATTCTCCCTTAAATTAATGAACTGCATGAGACAAATTGTCAACACTTACCCTAAAACAAAGATGAAAAGCTAAGGAGAGGCAGGGAAGCTAGATTAATGGAAACAGAACACAAAGAATAGATACAGTGAAAATAATGACACATTGTGAAAAGTGTAACCAAGGTCATGGAACAATCTGTATAAAAATTGTTAAATAAGAAGCTAATTTGCTGTGTGAACTTTCACCTAAAACACAATAAAATATTTTGAAAAGCAGTAGCAGCAGTGAGAAAGACTAAGGCTGGAGACATAAGGAGAGTGAATCAGGTTG